TAATGTCGCGCCGCATCCAGTGTACTCAGCGTCACTGATTATAATGGTTCTACTGTATTTTGCCGCTCGCGTCTGGTGTAGACACGGTGTTGTCGTTGGTGAGGAGGAAAGCCTGTGTCCTGTGCCTTAGCGGACAGCAATAAACCCACAAAAAATAAATAAATAACAGAGAGAATAATCATAACAATAACAGCTAGTCTTTCTATGCTATTTTTCAATGTTTCAAGTGATGCAGGTGTTTTTTCCCTGTAGGTTTTTTTAATGAAAAAAGCATTAATTTTTATTTAGGCGCCAGATTTGGTCTAAAGGGGGGCGCGACCAAAAAAGTTTGAGAACCACTGTGCTATATAGACTTATTTTTTATGGGTCCCAGCCATAGCCGCAGGAACGTATTTTGCGCTGGGGGGGCTGAGAAATAAAACGGGGTGGGGGAGGGTCACGTGACAAGAGTGATGCGAGAAGACTGACACTATAGGCTTGTTTGAGATTATAAGTCTAATGACAAGGGATAATATATGCTATAATGAGAAATGGGTGTTAATGTGGACTACTGGAGGTTATAACATTAGCATAAGTTCACAGTAGCTAGCAGCTAGTTAATAAAATGAATATTATTTATTTTGTATTACATATTGTTCATTCATTTATTTTTAACACCGCACCCCAAGCACCCCCATTTTTTCGTGGGCTACACTCCAGGGGGTGCTGCAGCACCCCCAGCACCCCTACTTCCCGCGGTAATGCGGTTGAGACATGTTACAGGTTATAATATAATCCAAAAATCATGGCAACAAATGATTTTTTAAGTCAGTTTAATACGTTTAATCAGTTGAAACGACGTTCACAGTCAGATTCAACTTAACTCATATTTAACCGTTGCTGCTTGTCATTATAGGCTTAGGCTACTTTTTCAATGAATTTTAATGAATATACTAATTAATAAAATGAATATTATTTATGTTGTATTACATATTGTTCATTCATTTATTTTTAACACCGCACCCCCAGCACCCCCATTTTTTCGTGGGCTACACTCCAGGGGGTGCTGCAGCACCCCCAGCACCCCTACTTCCCACGGTAATGGTCCCAGCAAATGTTGTAATAGATGGAAACGAGATGGCAGATAAACATGCTAAAAGATCGTTGAATAAAAATAATGTAGAAATTGATGTAAAAATCAGTAAAGCAGAAGCAAAGGCAATTATTAAGCAAGCTGTTATTAAATCTTGGCAACATAAATGGGATATGGAGAAGACAGGCAGACATCTGTATACAATTCAAAAGAAAGTAGGATTACAAAATAATGAGACTGGAAGTGACTTTAAAAGAAGAGAATTAATATAAAGATTAATATTAGGGCATTCATCTTTAAATGGAAACTTGCATAAAATCAGGAATCATCCTTCTGGATTATGTATAGATCTGGTGGCGAAATTGAAACAGTTGAGCATATTTTATTACAGTGTAGAGCATATAGCCTAGTAAAGAGAGACAGGTGCTGGAAACAAAGATACAAACAGAAGGTGCAAATAATATAACATTAGAACTAATATTAGGTAATAGAGAATTCGGAAGAATGATAATTTAGAGTTATCTAAGAGACACGGGAAACTTCTAAGAATGTTCTTTTTATCCTGTCACTCCACACTGCAGTGCAGTTGGTGGCGGTAATGCATCAAAAGTCGGCTTGCCCACCGCCAATAAACCTTACAAGAAAAAGAAGAAGAAGAAAAAGGTCATTTTACCAATCCAGTAAAAAAAAAAATATTGGAGAGCTGCTGGGAATATGAGCAGACATATCTGAATAGCTTTGGCTGGACAGTAGGCAAGCAGGCTCAACAAATAGGTATCAGTAATATCGATATTAGCCCCACGGTGGCTCTGCCAGTATATCCACCTTGGTTTTTTTCTATGCCAACAGTTGATTTGCAGATATTTAATTTAATAAACGAAAACAAGAAATATGTTCCAAAAGAGACAATAGTGCAGCAGCATTTAGATAGTTATTACTTTTTAATTTTTACAAAATTATACAGATGGTTCTAAAGACCCAGAAACTGGGCGTACAAGTGCTGCCATGTATATTCCTCACTTTAAATATAAACCTGAAAAAAGAACTTCTAATAATATATCAGTATATGCAGCAGAGATGATCGCTATTCAGATAGCTTTACAGTGGGTGGAAGAAATCCAACCAACAACAGTGGTAATCTGTTCAGATTCATATTCTGCACTCAGTGGAAAATCGGAATCTAGACAAGATATTTTATTAGAAGTACTGCAAAGTTTGTACCGAATACGGCAACTGAGAATTCTAGCAGAATTTGTATGGGTGCCTGCTCATGTTGGAGTGGAAGGAAATGAGGAAGTAGACAAGATAGTGAAACAGGCTCTTAAGCACACAAATATTGACATACATATACCCCTGAGTAAATCAGAAATTAAAGGTTTAATTAAAGTAGCTGTCAGAAAGATATGGAAAGAGAGATGGGATAAAGGTAACAAAGGGCGACATTTGTATAATATAAATAAACAAGTAGGACATGTAAGACCTGCTTATGGTAACAGCAGGGATGATACAGTTATATCGCGATTGAGAATTGCACACTCTACTCTTAATAAATCACTCCAGATGACAGGAAGACATTAATCTGGTCATTGTAATCATTGTGGACTTCCAGAAACTGTAGAGCATGTGCTGATTAACTGTAGGGCATATGAAAGGGAAAGAATACAGTTAAAAGAGGAATTAAAATCATGCATTAATTCTATGACATTACAGAATGTGTTAAACAGTTCTCATAAAGGTTATAAAGCTCTTATTATTATTTTTTTAAATAACAAATGTATATAATAAAATATAGGTAGAAGGATTTTTTTTAAATTAGCATTTCCCTCGATATCATCGCCTCACACTCCATCCCAGTAGGTGGCGGAATATGCGCCAAAAGCTGGTTTGCCAACCGCCATTAAAAATCAAAAGAAGAAAAAGAAGAAGCAGAAGAAGAAGAAGAAGAAGAAGAAGAAGAAGAAGAAGAAGAGTAGTTGTGCTTGTGGTTTGTAGTGGACGGTACTCTGGTAATAACGTTCTACTGTTTTTATATATTTTACCGAGGTCGAAGCATGCCGCAGCTTTCTGAAATAAACATGACAGACATGCGCAGCGCAGATAGCCTGTGGTCCGCTGCTGACGTCTGGCTCAAGAAGCCACATGTAGTAAATAAGAGGCTGTGTGGCGTAACAGAGACGGAGTACAGGGACGTGGACACTGCGGAATTAATTCAGGTTTTATCTCCTCTTCTGGGAACCAGTATTAAGATTGCTGATATTTCTGTGTTTCTTCACACTGATATTGTGGATAAGGAGCATGAAACTGCAGGACGCTGGTGTGTTGGAGTCAGAACTATTATTCCCAAAGTGAACAAGACAGGAGAGTGTCTATACAAAGAGGTTATCATAAAAGGTGACACAGCACGAGACCATTTGGATATGTTGTCTTTTTTTCTCATTGGCTTTAGACTTCTTTTCTCTTTTCTTTCAAAGATATTGTTGGGCATGCAGTGACATTTATCCCTTTTGAAGAGACTGATGTGGGACAGGTTACTGTCAAGAGCAGTAACATTTATCAAATCCAGCTGCAGTTAAAGCCAGAGGAATGGTAAGTGTCAACTTGAGTGGAAATTAAAAACAGAGTACATATCATAGCGTGACTAACCTTTCACTGCATTTGTATGGAATTTTAAACACCTCAAAACAGAAAAATGGGTCAATGAGTACATTGGACTTTTGACTGTTTTTTGTTTACTTGGTTACATTTAACCCAACAGAGCAAAAGACAGTTTACACAAGAGATATGATGAATAAATTGTTTTTGTTGATTTAAAATGATCAGTTTGATATTAGAGGTCGACCGATATGGGTTTTTCACTGGCCAATGCTGATATTTAGAAATCCGGTCAGCCGATGGCCGATATATGATGCCAATTTTTTTGGCTGATATTTTTGGCAGATTTTCTTTTTTTTCCCCCATTCATCTCATAAAAGTGAGTTTGAGCAAATGATTATTGCAGGGTACAAGATAGTAAGTAAATGATTATTGCAGGGGACAAGATAGTAATAGTAGTAGTAGCCTCATTCAGAGTAATAATACATGGCTCAAAACTTAAGCACCTTCTCAAAACAGTTCTGAAGCATGCTTTTTGTTTGTTTGCTGACAGACACCAGTGTTTCCCACAGACTGCAAATTAATTCTCTGCCAGCAGGAGGCGCTTTGGGAGCTGGAGATATAGCGGTTTCCCCGGTAACGGCTGTAATCAAATAAGTTCTGCTCACAAAGGCTACTTTATCAGGCATTACAGGAAAGACGAAATGAAAATGACATCGAAGCTTTTCTGAAGACAGTCGGTTCTTTTCAAAGATACATTCCTATAAAAACACCCACGCTGCATTTTAATTTTGAAACGTACATTGCTCAGTTTATTCAACGAAGTATAAGCCTTTTGGAAAATCTATTTGTGGCAGTCAGTTTTGATATTGTGACGAGCCGCCACAGATAACTCAATGTATAGGAAACACTGGACACTGCTATAAGTCAAATGGCCATAGTGATAACAAAAATAAAACATTTCACACATATTACACAGCCTGCTGCTCAAAACTGCTTAAGAGTGCGCTGGCCACGAGTGATGACATCATGGAGGCTATTGTCGGACCCACACAAACATTTCATGAGGAAAGTTAATGTGCACATTATAATTAGCCCAGAAGTTTTGTCTGAATTGAACGTGTTTCTACTTTCACATGCAAATGACTTGTTGCACTTATGAATATGATAACTTTCCGGCATCAATTCTAGTAGGGTAAAACGTAATCCCGCTTTCGAAACGGTCTGTTATGCCAAAAATCGGCCGATCAATCGGTCGATCTCTATTACAGTGTTTATTATAATGTTTGTAAACATTTCGCGTCGGCATTAGGCATTTCTGAATGAAATAAAAAAAATG